AGCGGATGCAGTATACCACATTGGCAGATGTGCAGGTGAACATCTGCTTGATGTGGAAAGTCTTCTTGGGGCCTGGGATGGGGGTGAGGGAGGAGGTATGGGGGCAGGTGTAGCACTTCCTGCGGTTGCAGGGAAAAGTGCCGGGTGTGGTGGAGCTGGAGGGGAGTGTGGAGCGGACAAGGGAGTCACGGAGAGAGTTGTCCCTCCGGAAAGCAGATAAGGGTGGGGAGGGAAAGATGTCTTTGGTGGTGGGGTCGGATTGCAGATGGCGGAAGTGTTGGAGGATGATGCGTTGGATCCGGAGGTTGGTGGGGTGGTACGTGAGGACGAGGGGGATTCTTTTTTGGTTCTTATTGCGTGGACGGGGTGTGAGGGATGAGGTGCGGGAGATGTGGGAGACACGGTTGAGGGCGTTCTCGACCACCGAGGAGGGGAAGTTACGGTCCTTGAAAAACGAGGACAACTGAGATGTACGGGAGTGGAATGCCTCATCCTGGGAGCAGATGCGGCGGAGGCGAAGGAATTGGGAATAGGGGATAGGGGATAGCATTTTTGCAGGAAGGTGGGTGGGAGGAGGAGTATTCTAGGTAGCTGTGGGAGTCGGTGGGCTTGAAATGAATATCGGTTTCTAGGTGGTTGCCCGATATGGAGACAGAGAGGTCCAGGAAGGGGAGAGAGGTGTTAGAGATGGTCCAGGTAAACTTAAGGTTGGGGTGGAAGGTGTTAGTGAAGTGTATGAACTGTTCGAGCTAGCACCTCCCTTTCCTATTCACGTATTTATACAAATGTCTTTTCAAGGTTCCAATGTTTCAGCCACCACTTCCTCTGGCAGTTCATTCCACACAGGAAGCATTCCATGTAAAAAAAGTTGCCCCTCAGGTCCTTTCTAAAAACTCTCTCACACCTTAAATTATTTCCCCGAGTTTTGAACTTCCCAACTTAGGGAAAAGACCCTTGCTATTGTGGCACGTTCTGAGGGGAAGTCATAGAATCCCTACAGCGCTGGAAGAAACATTCTGCCCATTGAGTCTGCAGCGACCCTCCGAGGAGCATCCCACCCAGACCCAGCAACCCCCTCCCTATCACCGTATTTTATCATGTCTAATCTACTTGGCCTGCATATCCATGGGCATAATGGGCAATTTATCATGGCCAATCCACCCAACCTGCACTTCTTTGAATTGTGGGAAGAAACCAGAGCTTCCGGCAGAAACCAACACAGACATGGGGAGAACGTGCAAACTCCACACAGACAGTTGACCTAGGCTGGAAATGAACCCGGCTCATTGGTGCTGTAAGACAATAGTGCTAACCACTATGCCACCCTAGAGGGTGAACTAAGAGACATCAACACACATATCTATAGCAGCCAAGGTTCTGCAGGCAGATTATAGAGATCTAGGATATAAATCAATGAGTAGGGCCCTAAAGATGGTAATTCCTCGATGACTCCTGGGGCCAATGTACACAGAAATAAGAAATTTCTGCAAATGAATATGTAGTTGAAGATATGGCACAGGAAGGAGGGCTTTTGAATCTTGAGACATTGAGATCAGATCTGCAGGATGTGTTACTTGGACAAGTTAGAGGAGTAGTTTCACTAGAGGTGGGGGGGGTGGATTTAAACAAGCTTGAAAAGGGTAACGGTAAACTAGGTGTAGATTGAGAAGACAGAGAAATGTAACTGCATGTGAAACTTTGAGGCTTAATATATTACAACATAGGTAACGTTATTGAACACAGAAAATAGACAAAGGAGTCGTCAGTGATTAATGGTGTTTGCTCCAATGAAAATAGTCTAATAAATAAAGCAGATGAGCTGAACTCACAGAGACACACTCGGAAGTACGATATTGTAGCTATTTCTGGGAATGTGGTTTAAAGAACGGTGCGAATTGCAACCTCACATTAGTCACAGGGTCTGCATACAGCATAGAAAGGGGGATTTTTTTTTAAAAAAAATCACAATGTTGTTTAAAAAAAAAATAAAGAAACAAATCACAGCTGTGAGAAAGAGTGACATGCCAAAAAGCAGAACTCTTCATTGCAAAAGTACTTGGACATGCACTTTCAATGCCATAACCACAGGACCAAAAGCTGCAATGTACAAATAGGCTAGATAACTCCTTTTTGGTTGGCAGATACAACTGACTGAATGGTCTCGGAGACAGTAGGGACTGCAGATGCTTGAAGCTAGAGTCAATAAATGTGGAGCTGGAAAAGCACAGCAGGTCAGACATCATCCGAGGAGCAGGAAAAATAAAAATCAACATTTTGGGCTGAAACCCTTCTTCAGGACTGAATAGCCTTTTTCTTTAAACCTCGAATTTCTATAATTCTATAAAACCGTGCTATCAAGTAGAGGTGATGCAAGTAAAAAGGGAGAAAACACATTAAAGTGGTATCTGTAAAGACTTTGTTTCAAACGCTGCCTTCAAAAGTCAAAAAAAAAACCTCTGGCAGGCAATTCAGTGCCAGCTGCCAGGCAGCGTGTTGTACCTGCTCACAAATAGAAACAAACAGGATTTGGCAGCTAGCGTTGATCTTCTCTTCAACCTTCATGTTGTTTAAGAGGATGACCACTTTACTAAGGGTGAACATTTACCATTTGTACTGTTTCCAATGAACCCTTGAATAAAACAATTCTGATTAGATTCTGTCATTCCAAATCTCAAGTTATTTGTAGAGAGAGAGCATTTTGATCACTGTAACAACAGATTAAATCATTCTGTCTTTAATTCAATTTTACTTTAATGTATTGTTTGGAGTCAATGCTAGAGTTTAGTGGCCTCTCAAACTAATCAGGATGTTATCTCTCCATCCTTTCCAAACATAAATGCAATATTAACTAGTACTACAGCAATTCTTTTAACTCTGAAGAGCAACTCAATGGAGTTCTACTATTTGAAAAAAAACGGCAATATGGTTTTGTTAAGCTGTAAAAAAATTTGCAATTGTATAGCACAATTAACGCAATGAAGTGTATCAAAGTAGTTCATAGGATCACTGTCAATCAGTTTGGTGACTGGAATAGGGTTTTTCCAGCATCTCAAGGAAGAATGGGATTGTTAGGAAATGAACCATTCTTTCATTGGCTGAGTTAATGTTCCAAGTTTTATTTTCTAATTCACTTCAACTGACTGTTTTAACCTGCTGTCTTGATTAAAAAGGCCTATGGCTATCAGCATTTGAAATTACATATGTATGATCTGCTCTGCTGCAGTTAACTGATTCAACTTAAAGTGTAGCATCAGCAACAGAACAGTCCTTGGACAGACTTCAACTGGCTGCTGGCTACTGCTGTTTAGGAGATCAATATTGTCTGCAACACAGGCTCACGGCTGAGAATCTGCATGATGTTATGAGTTTCCTAAATGAGGGTAAACACAGAGCAACTTGCTATTCCAACCCGGTGTTGGCCAGTGTTGTGGGCAGGAATTGCCTCATGTGAATAGTGTTTTGAACTGGATTAACATATCACCAATACTCCAGTGATTATGGATGTAACTTGCTTATACTTAAAATTCCATAATCATTCGCATTTCCCATTCGATCCTGCTTAGGTTATGCTAACATCTGGGGATAAATCATGTGAAAACTCCAAGCTCTGATGTTCAAGTGGGTCACCACACATACTGAATTTGCAAAATGGTCCAAATATCCATCTAACCTAGCTTGATCCTTTCAAACTTAGAAGATTCTCCACTGTCAAGTGAATCATTAGCATGCAAGTAAAACATGACTACAATAATCCTCACTTGCCTGAAACTTTGCTCTTGGATATTAATCATATCTAGAATTCACTTCTCTACAGAGTAATATACACCGTACAATGTATTCTGATGGTATTTCACCCAAATACAAAAAGTTACATCACACTCTTGAGACATTATTAAACCTCATCTAACAGGTAGCGTCTGTCCTTCCAATCTTGGTACTTTCCTGGATTGCACTTGGAAATTGAGAACAAAGCTGAATTGCAAATGGTTGTCAGTGTGCCACTATTAGGGTTTTTTAAATATATAGGGACTTTGAATTTAGTATATAAATAACACACATGTACCATTACACTTTAAATGAAACCCAAACAGTCAACATACACTTTCCTTTGAAGTGGACTCCATTCTCACCTGCAATACAAGGAGTCTTGTGCTCCCTCCGAATTTAATAACATGGCCGACTTTAAGCCTCTGGTAACAGTTCGGATGGACTTTCTGTTTGTTTACCACTGTCCCATGAGTACTGTTCAAGTCATAAATGTAAAATCCAGTGCCATTCTCCCCATCAGCAACTCGCCTATGTTGCACTATGGCATGGTACCGAGAAATGGAAGGATGCTCAAGAGAGATGTCACAGGTCGGAAGCCTCCCAACAACATAAAAACTCTTTGAATTCAGACTCATGTCCGAGACTATGCTGCCATTTTTGAGGATCTCAAAGCTGTAAGGGGCTTCTGCTAACCCTCCCCATGGTGGTTCCACATATGGGAGAGGAGGGCAGGGCTTATATTTATCTGAAGGTAACCTCATGGCAGCTGACCTGGGCTTCTTTGGCAGTGATATGGGATGGAGACGAGGTGCCTCAATGAGCCGCTGATCTGGTGCGGGTCTTTCTTGCAGTTCCGGTCGAGTTTCTTGTTCATGACCTACAGAGCTCTCCACAGCTGGTACAGCTTTCACCTTGGACTCCCCAACAACGTCAACACTTTCAGTTGATTCTGGGACGGTATTCAGAATGCTTGAATGGAGAGTTTTCTTCTGCGGTGGAGCCAAAGGGAGCAAAGGTTTCTTAAAACCATCACCGTTTAATGCACCTGCCACAAAAAGAACTGTGTTACAAAGCAGCACATGGTCCTACAACTCATGCATTTGTGGGAGAACAGAACATTACCATCTGAGGCAGAGGAAAAATCAGGACTATAGTTAAAAAATTTAAGGTGGAGGCATTATTTGAAATTGTTCAAGCAATGTGTACTTCTTATCATCATCCGGATTTTGAAATTTCCACTCTCTGTAAAACATAGAAGCTTGTGCCTGAATGCAAACAAATCTCCTGGGTTACTGCAGTGATATGTACCTTTGCTGTCAACTGGATTGCTGTGATTATGTCCCGATATGGTTACTTGATGCAGCACTAAGCCTTACAAAGCACTAAGGCAAGAATCTCAGTCAGCATGTCACCAGATGCTCTTTCAGCAATATTTAATTCCGGGAAGGGTTAGAAGAAAAAGTAACACGAGGCCTTGCTGCGATGAAACCCATAAACAAAATGGTCTGCTAACTCTCATTGTCATGGTTCATGCCTGAATGCTAGCCACTGGAGTTTGGTAGTTAGAAGTTCACATAGAATAAAATAGAGGTCAGGGAGGGATAGAATAGGTATTGCCAGACGTCAATTATCTAACATGAAACATGTCAGTATTGCTGAACAAAGAGCTCTTGGAGTGCGGATTCATAGATCCATCAAAGTGTAGTTGCAGGCAGAAAGGATAGTGAAGACATTTGGTATGCATGCACTTATTGGTCAGTGCATTGAGCATAGGAGTTGGAGGTCATGTTGTGGCTGTACTGGCCATTGGCCACTTTTAGAATACTGTGTTCAATTCTGGTCTCCCTGTTATAGGAGGGATGTTGTGAAACTTGAAAGGGTTCAGAAAAGATTTACAAGAATGTTGCCAGGGTTGGAGGGCTTGAGCTATAGGGAGAGGCTGAAAAGGCTGGGACAATTTTCCTTGGACTGTCAGAGGCTGAGGGGCAACCTTATAGAGGTTTATAAAATCACCAAGTACATGGATTGGATGAATAGACAAAGTCTTTTATGTTGGTTTAAGAGGATGATCACTTTACCAAGGGCGAATGTTTACCATTTGTACTGTGTCCAATCAATCCTTGAAAAAACAATCCTGATTAGATTCTGTCATTCCAAATCTCAAGTTATTTATGCAGACAGTCCCAAACTAGAGGGCATAGGTTGAGGGGAATGATTTAAAAGGAACCTAAGGGACAACTTTTTCACACAGAGGGTGGTGCATATATGGAATGAGCTGCCAGAGGAAGTGGTGCAGGCTGGTACAATTACAACATCGTTTACTCCCTACACCATCGCCCTCCCTACTTTCTGCATATAAGCCAATGTTTTCCCAGCTATCATCAGTTCTGAGGAAGGGTCACCAGACCTGAAACAGTAACTCTGATTTTTTCTTCACAGATGCTGCCAGACCTGCTGAGCTTTTCTAGCAACTTCTGTTTCTGTTTCTGATTTACAGCATCTGTAGTTCTTTCAGTTTTTAGTTAACATTTAAAAGGTGTCTGGATGGTTATACGAATAGGAAGGATTTAGAAGGATATGGACCAAATGCTGGCAAATGGGATAGATTAATTTAAGATATCTGGTCAGCATGGACAAGCTGGACCGAAGGGTCTGTTTCCATGTTTTACAGTTCTTGACTCAAAGAGCCAGCAGCCTCCTTCTTTGCTGCATACCCTATTGTTCTGCATTTTTATGAGACATTGTTGATAGAGGTTGTTAAGAATATGAGCTAGACACAGTACTTATAATAGAACAACAGCAATAATCAAAACATTTGTATCAAATCACAGATATATTTTGTAGTTGAGATTGACATTGCTGTCTTAATATGCCGTTTGTAAATAGGTATTGTTCTTAAACATATACTTAAATTGCAGCTCTCCAAGCACCATAATGAGATGCTCAATGAGTTTATTCAGAAAGCAGCTAAATTACACACACCAGAAAAGGCCTTTTGTTCAACACACAGTTGTACCCTGGGGAGTTGTTAAGGTTGTTAATGTGTCACAGTTCTACTGTGAGGAGAGTGGAAGTAGAGGACTCTTGCTCATGATTGCTATCAGTGACTCGTGGAAGCTGTGGTCACAAACATGATTCAAAGCCTGTGGAGAATGGATCTCAACATAATTGCAAGGGCCTCCTCCAGAGGTCTACAGTATCACATACCAACCTTAGGCCAATTTGAATCATTCCACGTGATACCAAGGAACAGCTGGAAATGCTGCAAAGGCTTTGACCTCTGACAACTTTCTGGCAATAGTATTGAAGACTTGTGCCCCAGAACTTGCCATACCCCTAGACATGCAGTGCCAGCACAGCTCAATACTGACACCACTCTAACAAAGTGGAAAATTGCCCAGTATGTCCAGTACACAAAAACGCAAGACAAGTTCAACCTAGCCAATTATCGCCCCCATCAGTCTACAATTGATTATCAGCAAATGATGAAAGCACTGCTGAGGATGCCTGGATGCTTCTCAAGCAGCACCTGCTCACTGACAATGCCATCCCCTATTACCACAAATTGGGCAGATGAGTATTTAGGGGACATTGCAGGCTCTCAGCACACATAGGGCAATGGGCTAGCTTTGCCTGGGAGAACCACCTTCATGATCATGACCACTTCCCCGCCAGGTAAGTTATCCATGGCAAGGAGTTCCAAACACACTCAATCCTTAGCAGAAATTCTTCCTCATTTCAGTCTTAAACTGGTGCACCTTTATCCCGAGACAATGTCCTCAGGTACTGGATTCTCCCACGAGGGGAACATCCTCTTAGCATTTCGAGTCGAAATATTACAGTGTGCAACTCACCTCCTTGCTACCCAAAGCCTGTCCACTGTCTACAAAGCACAAGTCAGGAATCTGATGGAATACTCTCAAATTGCCTGGAAAGATGAAGCTCCGACAATGTTCAAGAAGCTAGATACCACCTAGGGCAATGCAGCTGTTTGACTGCCACCACATTCACAAGCATCCACTCCCTTCACCGCTGACACTCAGTAGCAGCTGTACGTACCAACTACAAGATACCCTGCAGAAATTCACCAAAGACTCTTTAAAACCAATGACCACTACCATCAGATACATGGGAGCACCACCACCTACATTTCCACCTCCAAGCTACTCACCACTCTGAGTTCAAAATATATAGCCGATCTTTCAGTGCTGATGGGTCAAAATCCTGGAATTTCTTCTCTAAGGGCATTGTGGGTCTACCTACAGCAAAAGGACTGCAGTGGTTCAAGGAGGCAGCCTGTCACCTTCTTGAGGGCAATTAGAACATTGCACTAAATGCTGGCCCAACCAGTGACGCCCATTTCTGACAAGTGAATAAAAATGTTTTCTACTTGTATGGGGCCACATTAACTGTATACACTGATCATAGTGGCAAGATTTATTAATTTGTTACTGCATCTTTTGTGTTGTTGGGTATATTCAAAACTATTGAAACTGCAAACACTGCATTCCTTTTCCGGACATTGCCAGGTTGCAAACACCCCAACCTTACTCTGCAAACCATCCAGCTTCTCTCTTCTCCTATATAATGTTCCTTAAAACCACCTCTTTGAAACATATACAGGAGGCGCTGGAGAAACTCAGGTGTGGCAGTAACTGTGGAGAGATAAACAGAGTTAACATTTCGAGTCCAATAACTTTTCTTTGGAAGCGAAGGGGGTCTAAAAACGATGATTTTATGCCAACAAAAGGGGAGGTAGAGTGAGTAGAACAGATGGTGACAGTGCCCAGAGCAAAGGACCAAAGGTAGTTCTAATGGTTTAAAAAAAAGTGTTCCAGATGAAAAAAATAGGCACAAACAAACAAAAAACCTTGGTATACAAGGGACAATTTCAAAATTATCAGATAACAAAACTTGAAAGCATTCTGAACTGTAAGGAGGATGGCACAGAACTCAAAGGACAGTCAAGAAAAAAAAAACAGGCAAAATTCAACGCAGAAAATTGCAAAGTGATTCACTTTGGTCAGAAAAATGCAGAGAGACAAGCTAAACAAAAGGGTACAATTAAAAAGGGGGTGCAGGAGCAGGAGCAGGAGCAGAAGGACCTAGATGCAAATATGCATAAATTATTGGAGGCAGCGGGATAAATTGTGAATGCAGTGAATAACACATACAGTACCTTAAGCTTTACTAATAGGGCATAGTATACAAATACAATGAGGCGATGGCCTAATAGTATTATCGCTAGACTATTAATCCAGAAGTTCAACTAATGTCCTGGGGATGGAGGTTCGTATCCTGCTAGGGCAGATTATGGAATTTGAATTTAATTTAAAAATGTCTGAGATTAAGAATCTAATAGTAACTATTAAGCTATTATTGATAGTCAGAAAAAGCCATCTGGTTCACTAATGCCCAATAGGGAACTAAATCTGCCACCTCTCCTGGTCTGGCCTACACGAGAATCCAGAGCCACAGCAATGTGATTGATTTTCAATTGCACTCTGAAATGGGCAAGCCATTAATTTGTATCTATTGCCACCAACTTTTCAAAGAAATTAAACTAGGCGGACCACATAGCATTGACCGAGACTCTCGAAATTGTAGAAACAGCCCTGTCGTCACTGCAAGGTCCTCCTCATGAACATCTGGGGGCTAGAGAGCTGTCTCAGACTAGACAAGCAACAGCCTGACACACAGTCATACTCACAGAATCCAGACAATGTCCCAGAAGTCAGCTGGACATGAACTACAAAAAGTTGGTTTGCAGGTACAGCAGGCAATTGAGAAGGCAAATGGAATATTGTCCTTCATTGCTAGATGGATGGAGTTTAAGAATAGGGAGGTCGTGCTGCAGCAGCTTAGGGTGTTAGTGAGACCACACCTGGAGTATTGTGTATAGTTTTGGTCTCCTTACTTGAGAAAGGATGTACTGGCACTGGGGTGGGTGCAGAGGAGGTTCACTAGGTTGATTCCAGAGTTGACAGGGTTGGCTTATGAGGAGAGATTGAGTAGACTGGGACTATACTCATTGGAATTTATAAGAATCAGGACAGAGATCTTGTAGAAACATATAAAATTATGAAGGGAATAGAGAAGATGGAAACAGGGAGGATGTTTCCACTAGTGGGTGAAACTCGAATTAGGAGGCATAGCCTCAAAATAAGGGGGAGCAGATTTAGGACTGATTTGAGAAGGAACCTCAGCCAAATCTGTGAATGTGAATCTGTGGAATTCCCTGCCTACTGAAGCTACCTCGCTGCATGTTTTTAAGGCAAAGATAGATAGATTTTTGAACAGTAAAGGAATTACGGGTTATGGCGAGTGGGTGGATAAGTGGAGCCGAGTTCACAAAAAGATCAGCCATGATCTTACTGAATGGCAGAGCAGGGTCGATGAGACAGATAGCCTACTCCTAATTCTAGTTCTCATGTTCTTATGATATGGCCTGTCCCACCACCAGGGCAGGCCCAGCAGAGGTGGTGCAAAAGGACCCAGAACAGTGGTATACAGTTGGGAAGAGAGTTGCACTGGAGTCCTCAACCTGGACTCTTCCGCTAACAGCCACGTACCTTCCTTCCTTGGCTGATAAATCGATACTCTTCCACGTTGAACAACACTTGGAGAAAGTGGTGAGGGTGACAAGGGCGCAAAGTGTCCTCTGGGTGGGGGATTTCAATGTCCACCACCAATAATAGCTCAGCATCAGTAATACTGATCAAACTGGTAGGGTCTTAAAATGACACTGCTGCTAGACTGGGTCCGTAGCAGATGGTGAGGGAAACAACAAGAGGGAAAAACATACTTGACCTCATCTTTACCAACCTACCGGCTGCAGATGCATTGGTCAATGAGAGTATTCTTAAGACTGACCACCGCACAGTCCTTGTGGAGATGAAGTCCTGCCTTCACATTGAGAATGACCTTCATTGTGTTGTGTGGCACTATCACCGTGCTAAACGAGACAGATTTCGAACAGATCTAACAACTTCAGACTGGGCATCAACAGCAGCAGAATTTTACACCAGCACAATCTGCAACCTCATGTCCCAGCATATCCCCCACTCATCACCACAAAACCAGGGGATCAACCCTGGTTCAAAGGAGGGTGCACGAGGGCATGCCAAGAGCAGCATCAGGTATACTGGAAAATGAGATGTCAATCTGGTGAAGCCACCAAACAGGACTATTGCATGCCAAACAGCATAAGCAGCAAGTGACAGACACAGATAAGCAATCCAACACCAACAGATCAGATCGAAGCTCTGCAGTCCAACCAAATCCAGTCATTAGTGGTGATGGACAATTAAACTTCTCACCGGAGAAAGATTTTCCACAAATATCCCCATCCTCAATGATGGAAGAGCCCAGCACATCAATACAAAAGATAAGGCTGAAGCATTATCTGCAATTTTCAGATAACAGTGCTAAGTGAATGATCAATAGCAGCCTCATCCAGTGGTCCCCAGCATTTCAGATTCCAGACTTCAGCCAATTCGATTCACTCCACATGACATCAAGAAACAGAGGCACTGGATACTGCAAAGGCTACGGATCTTTACAACATTATGACAATAATACGGAAGACTTGTGCTCCAGAACTTGCAGCTCCCCTAGCCAAGCTGTTCTAGTACAGATACAACACTGTCGGGTAGATGCCCATGTGGAAAATTGTCCAGCTATGTCCTGTACACAAAATGCAGGACAAATCCAACCCAGCCAATTACATCCATCAGTCTACTCAATCATCAGTAAAGTGATGGAAGGTGTCATCAACAGTGCTATCAAGCAGCACCTGCTTAGCAATAACCTGCTCAATGATGCCCAGTTTGGGTTCCGCCAGGGCCACTCAGCTCCTGACTTCATTACAGTCTTGGTTCAAACATGGACAAAACAGCTGAATTCCAGAGGTGAGGTGAGAGTGACAGCCCTTGACATCAAGGCTGTATTAAACCAAGTGGGGCGTATCAAAGAGCCCTAGCAAAACTAGAATCAATAGGTGTCAGGAGGCAAATTCTCCACTGGTTGGAGTCAGACCTGGCACATAGGAAGATGGTATATCTATTGGAGGTCAGTCATTTCAGCTCCAGGCCATGTCTGCAGGAATTGCTTGATCAATGACATTCCCTCCATCATAAGGTCAGAAGTGAGGATGGTCAGTGATTATTGCAGTGTTCTGCACTCTTCACAACTCTTCAGATCCTGAAGCAGTCCATGTTCAAATGCAGCAAGACCTGGACAATATCCAGGCTTGGCCTAATAAGTCGCAAGTAACATTCGCGGCACACAAACGCCAGGCTATAACCGTCACCAATAATAAACAATCTAACCACTTCCCCGTAACATTTAATGGTGTCACCGTTATTGAATCCCCCACTAACAACATCCATTGACCAGAAATTCAACTGGGCTCATCACATAAACAGTGGCTACAACAGCAGAGGCTAGGAATACTGCAGTGAGTAACTCACATCCTAACTCGCCAAAGCCTCCATCATGTACAAGGCACAAATCAGGAGTGTGTAGCTCCAACAACACTGAAGAAGCTTGACACCATGCAGGACAAAGCAGCCCGCTTGATTGGCACCACATCCACAAGCATCCAGTCCCTCTACTACCTACACTCAGTACCAGCAATCTTTACCATCTACAAAATGCACTGCAGAAATTCACAAAAAAATCC